AAAATACCATTTCATCAGACATCGAATAGAAGAAGGAATCCTCGTGGCAAAGAGGGTATCATCGGATGAGAATCCAGCAGATCCCCTCACGAAGGGACTGACTCGGGTTAAGCATCTCCAGCATGCTCGGAGCATAGGGCTGAAGGATGATATTAGATTTAGTAGTTAGATAACCTTGAAATTTGTAAAGTGTAATTGACATTTGATGATGAATAAAAGGTGTTTTATTTATGAGTAAAGTGTTGCTATCTCTTGTCGATCGTTTACTATATTTCTTTTGCATGTTTTGACTTCAAGAATAATTATGTTTGGTATATCATATTATTCGAACCTCCACAGTCGGTCATATGTCGGAAGTAGGTATGAATCAAGACTGTCATGATTGGTTGCAGAGGTCTAAGTTATTGGACATGGCTACAACACTCATGAGTGCTCATAAGTTCTGAGCATTGGACTCAACCCACGCTCACTGGAATCACTTCATGGAATTTATCTCGAGTGATCGTGAGACGGTAATATCATATAAGTCTTCAAACCTAGAGATATGATTTGTTACTTATGAGTTGGTTATGCATTGATTGTACGTTAACGCATTGGTAACTCGATGTTATAAAACGTGTTTTTGTGTATAATTCAATGAGTGGTAGAACAAACATATGAGTCGAAGTTTATCCGTTCCTTCTTGGATTAGAAGCTGATATCTGGGCCCCTCGATGATTTTGTTTTGACCTATGTATCGGGCCCGGTCAGAACTAAGTTGATGTGTTCAATTAAGTTCTTTGTCAAACAAATCGGAAATCGGGAAACAAACTGCTGGACAATAAGTAAGACATTGTTCCATGTATTTGTCCGGCTGATATCTAGAACAGAGGATTATATGATCACTTATCTTAAATGGCGTATCATCATCTTCTCAGTTCCGAGAGACCTTGAAAGAGCTACGATTGCCGATCGGTTCCTGAAGTATTGCAGTTATAGTTATTAGACTTATCCAAGTGGGAGACTGTTGGATAAGGTGTCTAAGTCCATAACTATTTCTGGTATGTACTTGACCCGACCCGGCATGGTCCATTTGGGTTGCATGGCACCATGCAATTGGATAAACTAAAATGAGAGAAATAACACTTATGGTTTATTAATATATTATAAGTTCTAATATATTAATAATATTATTTAATTAGTTTGATCAAGAATTAATTTAGAATTAATTAAGTGATCAAAAGATAACTAATTAAATATATGGGTAGATTATGTAAATCTTCCATATCTTATATAGTGGGCTAAGAGGCTCCATGGATTATCAAGTTGGGTTCCACCCATAGGATGCTCCATGGGAGTTACAAACCCATGGGTCATGGAAATGAAGAGTCATGACACATTAGGGTTTACATGGTGTAACCCTAGATGTGTCAACACTATATAAGAAACCCATTCTCCACCAAAATCGGCAACACATAAGAAACAAGAGGGCTAGGCCGATTTTAGAAGTGTGTATTCTCTCTAAAGTCATTCCAAAAGCATTTGGTGTTGTGTGAAGCATTTGAGGCATCACACTTGGGGTGCTAGGCTCACAAGGTTTCAAGGATCATAAGCAACAATAAGGTAAGTTATTCTATCTTTCATGCAAGTTAAAATTTGTTCTCCATGTATGCTAGATAGGAATATAACCTTGGAATTCAACTTTGCATGATAATTAGACAAACATAGATCCAAGGTTATTAGGGTTGCATGTACACTTAGGAAGTGTTAGAATGCTCAAAACCCATCAGGCTCATGGTTATGTATGGCATGTATGGATCAGTTGATATGTATGGTATGTGGTATTTGGGAAACTCACTAAGCTTCGTGCTTACGGTTTTCAGTTTTGGTTTCAGGTACTTCGTTTTCAAAGGAAAGGAGCCGGCGATCGCAGCGCATCACACTATGTTTTCCGCATATGAGATCTTTGGGATTACTCTGATATTGTTTTATGATAACATGTTTTGATTATTGACACTTTGGTTTTGACATAAGATGTTATTATGGATGTTTCTATGCTTATGGTTTTATAATAACTTATTTAAAAATGAAATTTTTGGCCTTGAATTTTGGGATGTTACAAAAGATATGAACGTGTTGGTTATTTCATTAGATCTTGCTAGATGTGGAGTTTTGTGCTTATTAGTAACACCCGAAAAATTCAAACCAATTTAAACTTTTAAAAACATTTCAAACCATTAAAATCATTACAACTTTGTTTTCAAAATGTATAATATCAGAGTTTTCCCAGAAACATAAACAAATCATGAGGAGCTGTACGATCACGCCTTCTCCTTGCCGCGATCCCCTGATGTTCCTGAAACAATAAACTGAAACCGTAAGCCCGAGAGCTTAGTGAGTTCCCCCAAAATATCGATACATTGCACATAACACATATATAAACAACAGCATGTACTGGGTCCACAGCTTTACAGACTGGATTACCCCCTGGGCCCACAGTGTGAGTCTGGTTTGCCTTACGGGCCCATAGCTCACATCTGGCTTGCCATCGAGCCCACAGTACAAGTCTCCCTTAACCCGTAACTGGACTGCGCCCGAGCCCACAGTACGAGTCTCCCTTAGCTCGTAACTGGAATGCTCCTAGGGTTTGTTGGCTACCGCACGGAGCGGTACAACCTCAACCCACCCCACATAACATGTAACATACAATATCACCACTGAGCATGCAACAATCATATAACATAACAGGTAGTCCTACAGGTCTACCTAACTGGCATAACCACTAGCATGCAACACTAACTCATACTCAACATCTAACACTGCTAGAATAACATATCCAATGGGTCGGCCTTGGTGCCTTAGACCCCTTAGTATAGTGAGGATAACTCACCTCGCAACTGTCGTCTGAAACTAGAAAGCTCGACTCCCGGATCACCAACACGAACTCCCCGACCTATAGCTACCATAAAACCCTTTTTCATAAGTTTCCAAATTACCAAAATACCCTCAGAAGTCAACTGGTCAACTCTTGGTCAAAGTCAAAGTCAACAGTCCATGTTGACTCGACTCGTCGAGTGCAGTTCACCGACTCGTCGAGTCCTTCCTGAACTCGAGAAGTCGTGAAATCCTTGGTTGGCTCGTCGAGTTCCCTACAACTCGTCGAGTCCATGCGTCTCCAAAGGTCCGGGAGAAACCCTAGCCGACTCGCCGAGTCATTCGACCGACTCGCCGAGTCCAAGGCATTCTTCATCTGACTCGCCGAGTTGTTCATCCAAATCGTCGAGTACATGACTGTCTTCATATGACTCGCCGAGTCGTTCATACAACTCGCCGAGTCTCTTCAGTCCTTTATTCATACAGACTATTTTAAGCCATGCTAAGGCTCCAAATTGTAGATCAATCTGGTTTGCCTTATGGGCCCACAACTCACATCTGGCTTGCCATCGAGCCCACAGTACGAGTCTCCCTTAGCCCGTAACTGGATTGCCCCCGAGCCCATAGTACGAGTCTCCCTTAGCCCGTAACTGGAATGCTCCTAGGGTTTGTTGGCTACCGTACGGAGCGGTACAACCTCAACCCACCCCACATAACATGTAACATACAATATCACCACTGAGCATGCAACAATCATATAACATAACAGGTAGTCCTACATGTCTACCTAACTGGCATAACCACTAGCATGCAACACTAACTCATACTCAACATCTAACACTGCTAGAATAACATATCCAATGGGCCGGCCTTGGTGCCTTAGACCCCTTAGTATAGTGACGATAACTCACCTCGCAACTGTCGTCTGAAACTAGAAAGCTCGAATCCCGGATCACCAACACGAACTCCCCCACCTATAGCTACCATAAAACCCTTTTTCATAAGTTTCCAAATTACCAAAATACCCTCAGAAGTCAACTGGTCAACTCTTGGTCAAAGTCAAAGTCAAAAGTCAAAGTCAACAGTCCATGTTGACTCGACTCGTCGAGTGCAGTTCACCGACTCGTCGAGTCCTTCCTGAACTCGAGAAGTCGTGAAATCCTTGGTTGGCTCGTCGAGTTCCCTACAACTCGCCGAGTACATGCGTGTCCAAAGGTTCGGGAGAAACCCTAGCCGACTCGCCGAGTCATTCGACTGACTCGCCGAGTCCAAGGCATTCTTCATCTGACTCGCCGAGTTGTTCATCCAACTCGTCGAGTACATGACTGTCTTCATATGACTCGTCGAGTCGTTCATACAACTCGCCGAGTCTCTTCAGTCCTTTATTCATACAGACGATTTTAAGCCATGCTAAGGCTCCAAATTGTAGATCCAGCTTCCCAATGCCCGTTTATCACGTAAAGTTGCAAACTTTACGTGCATGCAAGGCTCTAATGACCCATAATGCCAAATCTAAACTTGAAATGGGGTTTAACTCAAAAGGAAGGGTTCATACTTGCTAAAGATGTAAGCTTTATGGACCTAAAGACCAAGGAGGGTTCAGATCTAAAGTTGCAACTTCAGATCTTAGCTCATACCCAAGAATGGCTTCATAACATGATGAAAAGCCCTAAACGTCAACCCAAAGAAGATCTAGAAGGAAAGAAGGTCAATGTAACGACTTGATACCTTCAAATGGTGCTATCTGAGGTAGATTTCAGGTCCACACAAACTCCTTGCTGCTAGCTACTTGATCTTCAAGCTCCCTTTTCTAAGAATCTTCTTCCCAAGGCTTGAAACACACAATGGAGCACACACACACGTATTAGGGTTTGAGAGGGACAAGAAGCAGTAAAGGAGAGGCTGGGGGAGGCCAATGATCCTTTAAATAGGGTGCAATACCCCGAGATTTAGGGTTTCATCCTCCAGCTCCTACTCGTCGAGTCCCTTATTGGACTCGACGAGTAGCTCACTAAAACGTGCGACCCAACCCGCTGCTACTCGATGAGTAGGGCAACCAACTCGTCGAGTAGACCTTGAAAACAAGAAAATTCTCATATAAAATCGATACCTAAGAATCGAGGCGTTACAATTCTCCCCCACTTAAACTAGACTTCGTCCTCAAAGTCTGCTGCTGCGAACAGTTCCAGATAATGCTCCCTCATCTCCGCCTCTGGCTCCCACATCCACTCGGACCCTCTCCGATGCTCCCACTGTACCTTCACCAAAGGTATCTCCTTGTTCCTCAGAATCTTCATCTTTCTCTCCATTATGGCCACAGGCCTCTCCACGTAATTCAGACGCTCATCGACCTGAATATCATCCAGTGACACCACCGACTCCTGATCCATGATGCACTTTCGTAGCTGCGAAACGTGGAAAGTGATGTGGATCCGACTAAGCTCTTCCGGCAGCTCTAACATGTAAGCCACCTTGCCAACCCTGGCAACGATCCTGAACGGTCCAATATATCGGGGACCCAATTTTCCCCTCTTCCTGAAGCGGATCATGCCCTTCCAGGGCGAGACCTTCAGGAGTACCATGCCACTGACCTGAAACTCTAGCTCGGATCGGCGCCGGTCGGCGTAACTCTTCTGCCGACTCTGAGCGGTCTGCAGCCGCTGCCTAATATGCTGAATCTTCTCGGTAGTCTGCAAGACCACCTCCGTCCGACTCATCACCCTGTGACCAACCTCACCCCAACAAACCGGGGTGCGACATCTCCGCCCGTACAACAGCTCGAATGGCGGGGCGCCAATGCTGGAATGATAGTTGTTGTTGTAGGCGAACTCTGCAAGCGGTAGGTGGGAATCCCAGCTCCCACCGAAATCAATGACACACGCCCTCAACATATCCTCGAGGGTCTGAATGGTCCGCTCGCTCTGACCATCAGTCTGCGGATGGAATGTTGTGCTGAAGTGCAACCGTGTGCCCAGCTCCTCGTGAAACTTCTGCCAGAAACGGGAGGTAAAACTGACATCCCGATCCGAGACAATGGAAACGGGAACCCCATGGCGAGACACGATCTCGCGAACGTACACGTCGGCCAACTTCTCGGCCGACGAACTCTCCCGAATCGCCAAGAAATGGGCGCTCTTGGTCAATCGATCCACGATGACCCATATAAAATCAAATCCCTTTGTCGTTCTCGGCAGCTTGGTAATGAAATCCATCGTGATATGTTCCCATTTCCACATGGGAATCTCTAGAGGCTGCAACTTACCATGCGACCTCTGGTGTTCGGCCTTGACTATCCTGCAGGTCAAGCACCTCTCGACATACCAAGCGATTTCTCGCTTCATACATGGCCACCAGTAACTCAAACTCAGGTCTCTATACATCTTGGTGGCCCCCAGATGAATAGAAAAATGAGACTTATGAGCCTCCTCCATGACCGTCTGCCTGACCCCACCAGACATCGAAACCCAGACCCGACCGCATCGGGTCAATAATCCCCAACTATCCTGCACAAACCGGGTATTCTCACCCTTGATCCTCTCCAGCTTCCAGTTCTCCGGTCGCATGCCCTCGACCTGGGCATCTCTGATCAAACTCACAAGCGGAGAATCCACCGCTATCCTCATGCATACCGCTGGGGTGGAAGGCCCAACTGACTTGCGGCTCAAAGCATCTGCAACCACATTCGCTTTACCAGGATGGTAAAGGATCTCGCAGTCGTAGTCCTTGACTACATCCAGCCACCTGTGCTGCCTCATGTTCTGGTTTGGCTGATCCATGATATGTCTCAAGCTCTTGTGATCCGTGTAAATGGTACAGCTGACCCCATAAAGGTAATGTCTCCATATCTTGAGGGCGAACACCACTGCCCCCAGCTCCAAGTCATGCGTAGGGTATCTTGCCTCATGCGGCTTCAACTGCCGCGACGCATAAGCTATCACTTGCCTTCTCTGCATGAGGAACGCCCCTAGACCTGTGATGGATGCATCACAGAACACCACAAAATCCTCAACTCCCTCCGGGAGTGTCAAGACTGGGGCCTCGCACAACCGTTGTCGGAGGGTCTCAAACACCCTCTGCTGCTCAGGGCCCCACCAGAAATCCACCCCCTTCCTTGTCAGACGAGTGAGGGGTACCGCAATCTTGGAGAAGTCCTGTATGAATCTCCGGTAGTACCCTGCCAATCCAAAAAGCTCCTGATGTTTGAGGGAGATTTCAGAACCTCCCACTGCATAACCGCCTCGATTTTGGCCGGATCGACCAAAATCCCTTTCTGGTTAACGAGATGTCCGAGGAACTGGACCTCTCGTAGCCAAAACTCACACTTCGAGAACTTGGCATACAGTCGTTCTCGTCTCAGAACCCCCAATAACTCCCGTAGATGCTCCTCATGCTGCTCTCGGGTCTTGGAATACACCAAGATATCATCTATAAACACTATGACCGAACGGTCGAGCATCGGTCTGCAGACCCGATTCATCAGGTCCATGAACACTGGTGGCGCGTTGGTGAGCCCAAACGGCATCATCACGAACTCGTAATGTCCGTAACGAGTTCAGAATGCGGTCTTCTCCACGTCCTCCTCTCTGACCCTGACCTGATGATACCCAGACCTCAAGTCTATCTTGGAAAACCAAGATGTGCCCTGCAACTGATCAAAGAGATCGTCTATCCTCGGGAGTGGGTAACGGTTCTTCACCGTTAACTTATTCAACTCCCGATAATCAATGCACATCCGGTGCGAACCGTCCTTCTTCCGGACAAAAAGAATCGGTGCTCCCCATGGAGAACTGCTAGGTCGAATGAACTGCTTGCCCAGCAGTTCCTGTAGCTGTGACAAAAGCTCCTGCATCTCTAGCGGTGCCAATCAGTACGGCGCCTTAGCGATAGAAGCCGCACCTGGCACCAGGTCGATCCTGAACTCGACCTGCCTCTCCGGAGGTATCCCTGGCAACTCCTCCGGAAACACATCTGCAAACTCCCTGACCACCGGAACATCGGAAACCGAAATGTGATCCCTGGCTCGCGTATCCAATACATACGCTAGGTAACCCACACCCCCGTGCTGAATATACTGTCGAGCCCTGACGGCTGAACAAAACCCTGATCCCACTCGGGTGCCCTCGCCATATATAATCAACTCTCCCCCACTTGGGGTTCGAACCACTACCCACTGACCCTCGCAATCAATCATGGCACCGAAACGACTGAGCCAGTCCATCCCCACAATCACGCACACATCCCCCATGGGGATCGGAATCAAGTCTATCTTAAAAGGTACCCCGAAGATCTCCATCTCGCACCCTCGGTAGATCGAAGAAGCAGAAACCCCGTGTTCGTTGGCGATAGAAACTCGCAACGGACACTCTAGCTCGCCCACTGGCACTTTGAACTCCCTACTAAATGTCTGAGATACAAAAGACCGACTCGCCCCCGAGTCAAATAAAACCAATGCAGGTAAGGAGTTCACTAGGAACGTACCTAATCACAAGTATAACGGATAAGTATACAACAGATATAACCAATGGGAGTAAGGATAGAACATACCAGCAACCACATCCGGTGCTGCCTTGGCCTCCTCGGCTGTAAGCTAGAAAGCACGACCCTGAGCCTTCGGAGGCTCTGCCCTGACTGGTCTCCCATCCGTGATCCTCAAAGTAGTCGGCATTGGAGCCTGCACCGGCTTGGCGGCTAGCAATGGACAGTTGGCCTTAACGTGGCCAACCTGATCGCAGTGATAACATAACCTCATACCCTGAATTGGGACTGCCTAGCGACAGTCCTTCGCATAATACCCCTCCTTGCCACACCTGTGGCACCCATTACCAGCTCGACACACACCAGAATGACCCTTGCCACACTTCCCACAAGTGCGGCTCTGCTGACCCCCGGTCCTAGTATCAGCAGTCTTAGACTGCTTTGGCGCCGGCTGAGACTGTGTCGGGGCCTGCCGCTGCTCTCTCAACTGCAGCTCAATCTCCAACTCACGCCGTATGGCGGCCTCCTGCAACTCTAGAAGAGTATCACATCACTGGGTAGACACAAACTGACGGATATCCGTCTTGAGCATGCTCAGATAACGGGTCATCTGAGCCTGCTCTGAAGCAAACTCCGGGCAAAACATCGCCCTCTCTGTGAACATACGGATAATCTCTGTCACTGACTCCCCATCCTGTCTCAAACTCAGAAACTCCTGTGCCAAACGTTCCCGCTCAACCCGCGGAATGTAACGGGCGTGGAACATGTCCCTGAACTGCTCCCAAGTAACAGCAGCTCTCTGATCATCAGTGTACGACCCAGTCGCAAGTCTCCACCAGTCCTTGGCCCCGGACCTAAGCAGGTTCAGAGCACACCTGACCTTCTGGTCAGTAGGACATGAGCAGGTAAAGAAACACCCCTCCACATCTGAAATCCATCTCATAGCCTTGATGGGATCCTGCGTCCCATCAAAAGTAGGGGGCTTCGTGTTATCGAAGTCCGTGTACTGAAAGCCTCTACCAACTCCTCCCCCTGCCGCTGATATAGTTGATGCAGCTGCTGCGGCAGCTGTCTCTGTAAGGCTGCATAGCGCTCATCAAAGTACTCCACCATGGTGGTCTTAATTGACCCGAACATCTCCGGCAACTGTGCCCGGAACGCAGTAGCAACCTCATCATGCAGGATCTCTCGAATCCTGTCATCCAACTCCTTTGTACCCATCTGCACCACCGGCTCAGGTGCTGTCGGCTCCTCCTGGCCTCTGTCCCCTGATCGTGATCCCGAACCGGTTTCAGCCACAAAGCGCCTCGTCATCACCATTCTGAAACATACCACAAGACATAAGATAATCCATATAAATAACTGGGAGCCAACTCCCTACTAAACCTAGGGATTGTGGCTTACTTGACATGCGTATGGGTCCTGTGCTTTCAGTAGTACGGGCCCATACTACCTTCCACACCTACCCATATTTGTCTCAAGCATCACCACAATGCCCTAACTGAATACACAACATGGCGAGCGCTCAATCCTCACTCTTAGAGGAATGCTAAATATCTCATAACTGGCCTCCCGGCCTCACACAACCCACCCATCCTTGAAACTTCCACCAACCCTGCAGCACTAGTGTATGCTAGCCATACATAACACTGGACCCTATAGACTTAGAATATCCAATCCTACCCTAAGCTCCCAATCAAACAAGAACAGAACATAAGGCCAAATCAAACAAGAACAGAACATAAGGCCAAATCAAACATTCTCAGGCTATAAGATCTTAATTATGTATAACAACGATGCAAACACTAAGCCACTACAGTAATGATGTCAATCTCATATAAAGGAAACCCTAGGCTAGCAGGCATCATGTAATCAGACAATTTTATCATGCAATTCCTGAAGCTCCCTAGCCTAGTACTAACATGTTGTTCTACATATCTCATAATCAAATAACTTGTATGGTATTTTGGGGTGTACTTACTGACTTCGGCTGATCGTACACCCTGCATCCTCCTTTACTTATTTGAAAACCTTTTTGAAAAAAAAATCATTTGGAAAATCCTTTCCTTGATTTGAGACTGGAGTTACACGAGTGTTCCTCCAATTCACTCAAACCAAGGCTCTGATACCAACTAGTAACACCCGAAAAATTCAAACCAATTTAAACTTTTAAAAACATTTCAAACCATTAAAATCATTACAACTTTGTTTTCAAAATGTATAATATCAGAGTTTTCCCAGAAACATAAACAAATCATAAGGAGTTGTACGATCACGCCTTCACCTTGCCGCGATCCCCTGATGTTCCTGAAACAATAAACTAAAACTGTAAGCCCGAGAGCTTAGTGAGTTCCCCCAATATACTGATACATTGCACATAACAGATATATAAACAACAGCATGTACTGGGTCCACAGCTTTACAGACTGGATTACCCCCTGAGCCCACAGTGTGAGTCTGGTTTGCCTTACGAGCCCTTGTTCCCACGCAATGGTATGAGAACCCAGTCTACCAGGTACTGGTCTTTCATGTAAGTATCACAGAGACAACTAGCATTCAACATAATAAGTAATGGGCCGCATTGGTGCCTTCGACCCATAGATATAGTGAAAAAACTCACCTCACAGACAGATAAGCAAATTGAATAACTCTCCGCTCCGAGATCAACTCTACCAGTCACCTTAATAAATCAATGACACAATCTTAGCATATAGGTCAAAATACCTAAAACACCCTTAGGTCAAACCCTAATAAATCCACATCAAAGTCAACTGAGTCAACCGAGTTGACTCAGTGAGTACGCGGTGCGTACTCCTTACATACGCGGGGCGTACAACATGATTGACCAAAAGTCAAGGAACTGACCACATACGCGTAGCATACCCCTTGGTACGCCCAGCGTACACGGCTGCTCACTACCTTACCCATTAAGTGCTTAATCCTTAATCATTTATATCCAAAATCCATATTTAGGCTCAAAGGGATGTCCTTGTCCATAAAGTTTCCAACTTTATGGTTTAGCATGGCTATTAAGACCTTATCTCCAAAAACCCTAGCTTCTTTACTCATTAAGACAATCTAGCACATGCATGGAGAGAAACTAATGACCAAAAACACATTTGTATGGCATAAAACATCCTAAAACATCTGAAAGGACAACTCAAACGTCTTGGAGTATCTCCTACTCACAAAGACCAGTAATTAGGACGAAGATCTCTGTACATCTTCGTCCCCCCATGATGAATGGAAAATCGGGATTTGTGTGCCTCCTCCATCAGAACCTGGCGTACACCCCCATAATATGGAACCCACACCCTGCGGTGTAGTGTCAACAACTCTCGACTATCACAGTCGAAGGAGGAAACCTGACCCACAATACGCTCGCTCTTCCGATGTTCCTCCTTCATAGCCTCCTGTTGGGCCTCTCGGATCTGCTCCAACAGTGGAGTCACTACTGTCATCCGCAAGCAAATGTCTCTGATCGGGACTGCCTTGCGGCTAAGAGCATCGGCCACAATATTGGCCTTCCCCGGGTGGTAGAGGATCTCACAGTCGTAATCCTTCACCACGTCTAGCCACCGATGCTGCCTCATGTTCAGATTCGGCCGATCCATGCGGTAACTCAGACTCTTGTGATCCGTGTAAATGGTACAACGAACCCCATAGAGGTAATGTCGCCAACTCCAAATCATGTGTCGGGTAGTTTGCCTCGTAAGGCTTCAGCTGCCTCAAGGCGTAGGCGATGATATGCCCTCTCTGCATCAATACTGCGCCCAAACCCAAAATGGACGCATCGCAGTATACTACAAAATCCTCCATGCCCTTTGGCAATACGAGGATCGACGCCTCGCATAGTCTTGTTGGGTTTTGAGCATTCTAACACTCCTATGGTGTACATGCAACCCTATAAACCTTGGATCTATGTTTTCTCTATTATACATGCAAATATTAACTATTCCAAGGTTTCATACTAACTAGCATATTATGAAGCACCTATACTACAAAGTTCTAGTTAGATGACATACCTTTTGATGTAGCTTGATGTCTTCAAGCTTTAAGAGCTTAGCCCCAATAGTGTGGAAGCCTCAAATGGAATCACAAATCACCAAAACACCTTGGAAGAACTTGAGAGAATATGTATGCACACTAAAATCGGCCCACTCTTATTTTCACACACTTGTGCCAATTTTGTGAGCCAAGGACCCCTTTATATATTATGGAGGATTAGGGTTACATCCATGTAAACCCTAATACCCATGACCTTTCATTTACATAGGATCCATGGGTTAAAAGCTCCATGGACCATCCATGAAAGCTTAGCCCAACCTAAATGAACTTGGCCCATTCCATATATATAAGAGTCCATATTTATTTAGTTCTTTTTGATCACTTAATTAATTCTAAATTAATTCTTGATCAATACTAATTAAATAATATGATTCCATATTAATATATTAGAACTTATAATATATTAATATAAATCATAAATATACTATTCTCAAAAGACTATCCATATAAATTGTGCCGGTGAAGTGCAACCCAAATGGACCATGCCGGGTCGGGTCAAGTACATACCAAATATAGTTATGGACTTAGACATTAATCCAACAAGTCTGTGCCTCAATGTCTCAAACGTTGCTTGCTGCTCAGTCCCCCAGCGGAATACAACGGCTTTCTTCGTCAGTCGGGTCAAGGGTACGACTATCTTGGAGAAATCCTGAATGAATCTCCGGTAATAGCCCGCCAACCCCAGGAAACTCCGAATCTCAGATGGAGACTTCGGAACCTCCCATCTCATCATGGCCTCTACTTTGGTCGGATCGACCAAAATCTCGTTCTGGTTGACAAGGTGCCCCAGAAACTGCACCTCGCGCAACCAGAACTCGCACTTGGAGAACTTGGCATACAAGCTCTCCCTCCTCAGGGTATCCAACACCTCCCGCAAGTGCTCCTCATGCTACTCCTGCTTCTTGGAGTAAACCAAGATGTCATCGATGAAAACTATCACAGACCGATCCAACATCGGTGTGCATACGCGGTTCATGAGGTCCATGAACGCGACAGGAGCATTGGTGAGCCCGAAGGGCATCACCACGAACTCGTAGTGGCCATAGCGAGTCCGAAACGCAGATTCCCCCTGAATCTAGTCAAAGAGATCATCAATCCTCGGGAGTGGGTAACGGTTCTTCACCGTTACCTTGTTCAGCTCCCGGTAATCTATACACATCCGATGTGACCCGTCCTTCTTTTTCACGAACAGAATCGGGGCTCCCC